CATGGCTACATCAGATGTCCCATCCACCTCCAGCTTCCAGGAGACATTGATATGGAAGGAGCTGACTTACTGCGGGTCCATCCCACACAACTCCAGCTGCAGCTCTCTGCATGACTCTGCCCCTGTGAAGCCACCTTCATTTAGGTCCTCAGGAGCCCCTCCCCTTCCTGTGGCCAAGCAGAAAGTCTGAAGCTGTAGCTACCGGAGGCTGCTTTTTTATTTCTCTAACCAAACTCCTTGTACCGTTAGTGGTTCAGTCCATGCATTGCTCCATTATACATCAACACAAGTCCTAGTAAAGCCTCTTTTACATGACATATTTCTGCCCCTTGTGGTTCATCAAAGCAGCCTCTCCTGGTTACACTGAGGGTGGCCAGCAGACAATGAGAAAGAACAGAGAACTGCTGGGAGCCTCCGCTTTTGATCCCTGGAAGAGTTTCCCAGGGGTGCAAGTAGTTGCCACCTCCAATGCCAGGAAAATGGGAGAGGACCACTAACTCTAAGAGGTTATAGTTACTGCCTTCAAAATCTCAGGACTGTTCACAAGATCAGCTATACTGTGCCTACCTGTGATTTCTAGGTAAACTGAACAAAGTACCCCTCGCCTGTTGATAATAGAAGTAATTGCCTTAAAAAGTGAAGGCTTCTGTGCTCTGGCAATGTTTAAAGTGCATAGTTTGGTTCAGGGCTTTCCTGCAATAGATAGAAGGCTAACCTAGGTGAACTTTAAGGCTCCCTTTAATCTCAGATTCAATTACTCCATACAGAGTCAGGAATATGAAAGGAAGGAAAGAAAATTCCTGAGATGCATGGAACAAACATTGCCGGAACACCAGAGGCAAAATGGTGGTTCAGAGAATTTAACCCCAATGTATTCTGCATCCATCATCACAGAGCATCGGGATTTCTCATATGTACCTTACACACGCCAGAGGTAATTACACCCGGCTTGGACATTCCATTAGGCTTCACTGAAGGAGGGACTTCTTGGACGTTTCCTAAGAACAATTTGCAAAATTTTGAGAGTAAAACAGCACATGAGATACAAGATCTAGTTGGGAAGCAGCCTCGTGGCTTTGCTCATCCTATTCACATTGATTACAGCCCTGAAGTGAAATATGGTTCACATTATTATGTGTAGAGTGTTGAGGCTAAAGAGAAGGGATTTAGTGAAGATATCATACTTCCTTCTTACGGCTAAAAAGTTATCCTAAAGGGTTGCCATCATCAGGAATTGATGAACCCCAGTCAGCCTCAAGGCTTCCCTCAAATGAAGCTCTCCTTCATCTCTGGATAACAGTATCTGCAAAGGAATCAGGACGCCAGGCCCCCAAACTGCCTTCAGAGTACATTGTGGGAGGTGCAGACCAAAGGTAAGTTTACACATCAGTGACTAAAGTTTCCTGCCACTAAGTATAAGAAGTCACTCATGAGCAGCGTCCCTAAACCACAGCTACAGGATGTGGGCACAGGCCCTTGTATAATTGTTGGCCCAGAGCCAATAAGCATTCATCTCTGTGCAAATACTTGGACTTTTTTTGTTGTTGTTAACTTTTGAAAACCACAGGCATTAGCTTCTCTCTTTCTTCCGCTTGGCACAAGTCATCTTCTTTTCTCCAGCTTGGTTTCTTCTGTGCAAAGAATTTCTGAAGAGATTTAAGCCTAAATTCAATACTTTTGCCCTCCTTCCCCTGCCCCACAAAATACCAGGCAGAGGTAAATCTGCCTTACAAAATACCTGCTGGCTCTGCTGTCTTCTGCAGCTTTGTTTGGGCATTTTGATCAGATAGGAAATCAGAGCTCTGTGAGTGACCTCAGCCTTTAAGAAAATACAAGTGCTTTCTGGAAATTCCCCCTCAACAACTGTGACTTACTGTTTTCTCATTTCAAAATTAACTGAGCAATTATGATACATCCATTCAAAGGATATGCCCTTCTAATATCAAACTAGAGAGAAGAATGGTTGACAAATAGGAATTGGAAGACTTAGTCTAATCCCGCTACTGCAAGAATTTGTTGGCTTCTTTTTGTGCAATTTCTTTATGGTTTTTTAGGCCTTTGCTTCATGTTCTGTGAAATGAAAGCCTTGGATTAGGTTTGTATGTTTCCTCAGCCCGAGGGTTCTTTAGCATCGTTTCAACAAAGAGACAAAGAAAGTAGGACTCAAAGAGCCAAAAGTAACTAGTTCAGAAATTAGCCTCACTTTCCTGGCTTAAAGGAGGGCCAAAAATTGGGCTTCCAAGAGGAAAGTCCCCAGGAAAGTGAGGCTTGATGATTTTTGATACTTTCCCTCATACAAATGTTAGAGAATCCATCAGCTTTGACTTTGTACTCAAATATCCCACATCATGGCATGGAAACCAAACCCAAGCTTACCTCATTTCCATCTATACTATTTCTTTATAATGAAAAAGATGACAGAAGGACGTTAGTAGTTCTAAGTCAACACAAAGAAAAATTTCTAACCATCAAAACTGCCCAAGATGCATCAGAAGATTGGGAGGGATCTGTCCATGGCCATACTCAAGCAGTTTTGGAAAGGAGGCTTATTAGAAAGTTTTCTAGTTCGAATTCCTAAATGAAAAAAAGACCAGGTAAAGAAGACCACCAACCAAGACACTCCTGTGGTGCTATGCTTTGTACTTAATGCTACCTGTGTCTAATCCAATTCCCAGGTGAATTTACAGGTCTGCTTTGGGAAACATATCAGATGATAGGCTGAAGAAAAACTCCAGGTGCATGCATAATCCCCCTGCGTTGTTCCTCCCTTTTAAGGTTAAGATTATAAATGAGAACACCACATATCCAAGAGAAAATCATAGGCAGTAGGTTCATGATCACCCAGGAACAAGACCTGGAGGGACTGAATCTCATTGCCTGGGATGTTTCCCCATGTTTTGATACGAAGTCACATCACTCCAGAGATAGTCGTTCAGTGTTTCACAGGTAATAGATGAATCTGATCTTATGTTGTTGAGCCCTCAAAAGATCTTCATCGAATGGGCAGAAGTTTTCTCATCTCCATTTTAGATACGAGAATCTTAAACATTAGGAAAGTTAAGATAATTTTTCAAGATGCCAGGTGACTGTGGCAGTTTTTTCCAAAAGAAAAAAAAATGTCTAACTGTGTAAACATTCAGCAACAATTATTTAGAGAATCATAAGGTCACCAGCCTTAAAGTATTATATAATCTCCCCAAATATTTTAATACAGCAATGAATTTCACAATATCCACTTTCGCATTTCCTTCCTGAACATGTCAAATGGATGAGGGTTCAGTATTCCAGGAAGTAACTCTTTCCTCCTGAAAGAAGCTTGTTTTTTATCTTTTGTGGGTTTTTTTTTTTTTTTTTGTTAAATCTTGACCTACTATCCAAATATTGTATCTAATTTTCTTACCCTCTGGTCACAGTACTGCTTTCTAGATCTCAATAAAAATAGTCTTTATGAGGAGTAAAGACAGTTCTCAGGTCAGCTTTTACTTCATGCTTCTTCATACGGAACTGCTTTGGCTCCATTAAAGGCTTATACTATTGTGATAGACTGGGTCTCAGGGCCGGAAAATGTCTTGCTCTTCCATCCTGAGTACCTTCCCTGGGCGATGCTGAATTATGTCCTTTAGAAGGTCATTTGGGAATGGTCTGGCTTAGATTACAAGAGGAACAAATGTGCAGAGAAGTCAATTGTCAGGGTGACCCTTAAATGGTAACTCCAAAGAATGTGCAGGACATTTCAGAGGCTTTTGCCAGCAAATGCCACTATCTTAAGGCATATGGAGATTTTTGGGCAGCAATAATATAACAACTTGCCAATAATGCCTGCTTCAGATCCAGAGCCAAAACAATCCTAGGACTTTTCATCCCACTGCTGTTGACAGGACAGCTAAGGATTTCAACATTTCCTTTCACAGTGTGAATAGAAGTTCCTTGCCTTGAGGACTAGAACAATATTTAGCATCAAGGGGCAGGGGGTGTAGTGGAAGAGAGCAAGGGGGAAGAAAGAGAATATTAAGGTAAGTAAATAAGGACAAAATGAAACAGAGCTACTCAAGATTTTTGTTCTGAATGCTTACGTCATACAGGTGTTTGTGACTGTATCAGAGAACAAATATTCAGCATTGCAGAAGTAAGCTTTTCAAAGAAAACCCAAAAAAAAAAACACTTCTTTCAAGCCACAAATGAATGAATAAATAAGTGAGCTAGAATTTTCAACTCAAATATCAAGCAAAATATCTCAGTGTGGGGTCTTGGGAAAACCAAAAGGCTTACTTTGATAACATTTGATTTATGGTGATCAATATTTAAAGCTTCTTTTCTGAATCAATGCAAATAAAGTTGGATTTAAAATAAAAAGTAAAAGAATCCCAAAGAGATGAGAACAGATAGTATACTCTCTTGGGTTACTGAACATTAGATCTAAGTCACAGAGACACACAGACATGAAATAAAAGGAAAAAGAGTGATGGGGCAAAACTAAGTAGGACAGCATTTTGGGAACACAGCCCTCAAAACCCTCTGAGATCCATGGATGTTCCAAACCGAACCTGTGGAGTAAGAGTCCAGTGACATTCCCATCCCTATTTCAAACACAATGGTCCTACTCTTTTCTTTTTTATATAATTAGGCTTCAACTCAAGATTTCATTAGAAGGAAAAAAATCTACAATTGAAAAATATGCTTGAAAAACAAGCTACAAGAGGAAATGAGCCACTGAAAAATTTTGATAGAGGAGTGATAAGATCAAATTGAGCTTCAGGAATCTGACTGCCAACTACATAATGATTTGAACTAGCCTTGAAATAGGGACACCAATTAAAAGGCTATGGTAACAAGGAAGTACGCCTAGTTAAAAAGTGAATCCAATGCTACAGATGTAAGAATGGAGAGAAGAAGAATATGAAAAATGTTGAAATAAAAATGAATTTTAAATTTGATATCTGGACAGTGGGTTTGTCTTAGTAATTTCCTCAGTGCTGAAACACAATACAGGACACACACAATTTAAAAGAAGAGAGGTTTATTTTGGTTCATTGTCTCAGCCCATGGTCATGTAGCTCCAAGGCAAAAAAGCCATAGCAGAGAGATATGGTAGACAAAAAACTGCTCACAGTATGGTGGCCAGGAAGCAAACAGAGGGAAGGGAGGAGCTGGAGAGGGAGATATACCCTTGGGTCATCTCCTCCAAGACCCGCTTTTACCAGGTTTCTCCTCTTAACAGCAAGTCAGCTACGGTGCTCTCATAATCCAATGGCCTTCCAAAAGTCTCATCTCTGAGCACATGAGCCTTTGGCGAGCTATTCTAGAGGTCAGCTATACCAGGGTACAATGTTAAGCTTCATACCATTATGGTACTATGTGGGATATATTTGGCAAGGAGTTTTGACAAATCAGAAATGATGGACTTCAGGAATGGATGAAGGAGACTATAAACATGTCACAAAGAGCTGTAGGATTTTGGAGATTCTGAATCTGAGAGGTTTTTGAAACTCTAACATATGGATGATTGTCGGACAAAATTGCAAAACTGAATCTTGGAAGTAATGTTGGGAATGGGTTTATGTATCTGAAAGTCATAGGCATAAAAGTAGTAGCTAAAACTACAGAGACAATGAGAAGCTAATGAGCAAATAAATCAGGATCAGAGGGCTAAAGACCACGACCTGGAAAATGTCTGCATTTAAAGACCGGGAGAAGCAAGAACCTACCACGTGTTTCTCGAGTTTACGATCAGAAACTCATTTGAAGACATAATTTGATGAGCTCAGCAGTGTTTATTTTCTGTTTCTAAGGAAAATTGATTATTCTCGTGTGAGACCTGAAATGCGGATCTACCAGCCTAATCAAGCGTTCAGATTTCCTGAGACACTAAATATATTCAAAGTCCTGTAGGACTCCTCAAATGTAACGAACTGTTTCAGTGCAAAAACATAGCAGACTGAAACAAACACCTTCAATAGTGGAATATCTATGTATGATGCATGTATATACTAAGAAAAAAAAAGGGGGGGCTCAAAAACCAATACTCCCACGAGCGAGGGAATAGCCGAGTTTGTTGCGGTTTCCAATAAATGACATTAGCCCCGTGTAGGTCTCAATCAAAATGGGTTGAGTTAACACTGTCAGTTCCTTTTCTCTTCCAGATCCTCTGGAATTCTTTTGGGCATTCTGGATCGCTGGAACAAGCTTAGACATGAACCCAGTCAACTGAAGAACAAAAGGAGAAAGAACAGAATTAGTGAGTGCAGAATAGGTCCAGCAACATCCAGCTCTACGAGTCCTCACAAAAGTTGAGCATTCTCCTGAGGCTACACATCTTAACACATAAATGGCTAGTTAACATTGCTTGTTTGCCTTTTCAATCCACTAATCAGTTAATAAATTATGTACATAATAAAATTATCTGCCTTGTCTTGTTTATTTTTCATTATTCATAACTTGTATAATATTAAGCAATTTGATAAATACTTGCTGATAGTCTATTATGAATCAGACACTGGTTGGGGCACTGCTGAAGATTTAAATACAAGTTAGATATCTTCTCTGCCCTCAGAGACAACGGAGAAGAGAATATAAGAGGTGAGTTATGATAATAACACACAGTTCCCTAATATAAGCAGCAAAAAGAGGCATAAAATGGTAAAGAAATACAAAAGAGGGAGACATCATGCATAGATGGAAGATCAGGAATGACTTCAAAGGAAGACTCTAGACAATCCTTAAAGGATTAGGATTGGTAGGATTTCAACAGGTTAAAGAGGTTCTAATAGACAAGTGCTGATTTTCCAGGCAGCATTCTTCCTACCATTTGAAATCCTTCTTCTGATTGAAGTATCTCAATTTTCCTTAAGAAATCCACCCTCTTCCACTTGGCTCATCCGGGTAGTTTAAGTGACACTAGCATGTTAGTACATGATTCAGGCCAAACCAATAAGAAATATCTATTTCTCTGGTCAAAAAAGATGGATTCAGGCATAGGCACAAGACTCCTGTGGCAGCCGAACTCTTAGACTATAAGCTTGAAAGTATTTGTGGTCACCCCGTCACACACAGCGAACCTGACTAAGCTCAAAACCAGGGAAGACGGAAAGAATGAAGACAAGGAGGAAGACGATTTCTTAGCAAAGTCATTTAAATTACTAATCATTTATACTACTAAGTCCTTTATACTACCAAATCCTGGAATTGAATTACTGGATAAGCTTTTTCTACTTAAAAAAAAAAGAGTTTTGGGGTTAAGCCATATTGCTTTGGATTTCTTCATTTGCCATGAAAGGAGGAATGTGACTGAGGAAGCCTTTCAAAGACGAGTACTGTGCAAGTAAAGATATAGATGAGGAAACTTCATATCTTTGTTTTAGATATATTATTTCCTTTTAATGAAAACCTAGGTATTAGGTTAAAAATTACATCACCATAAACATGTTAGAAATACAAAAGATAACTGAATTACCCACTGTCAGTGTACTTCCTACATCATAGTTTAGAAAAAAGCATTAGGAATAAGGACCTAATCCCAACAGTACCCAAACCTATTTCTTAGACAACTGACCCATTAATTCAAATGAAAACTCTTTGATTTCACTCCAAGTTCAGTACAAATGATTAAGCATTCTGTTTAAAGCAATTATTTTTTTTCCCATTTCTCCATGAGGAAGTCAGTTTTGGCTTTTAAAACATCAACCCACGAGTGTTAGCCTGTGTTGTTAGTTCAATGAGTCCCAGTAGGAGAAACCTGTATTCTTTCACCACAATTCTAATTTTTCTTGTTAGCTTTATTCTGAATTTATATTATGTACCAAATTGTCCTTGAGCAAACCACATTTTCATTTTAGGCTTCTTTCCCTTATCAATACTAACTACCTTTGTCAGTCATTACTAGCTGTCTTTATTAGCTGACCTAATCTATAAGTTAAAAAAGAAAGAAAGAAACATCTAAAATAGATTAGTGGTGTGGCATTGTACACTCAGTTCCCTTTTTAGAGCTTTCATTAGCCTTTCTTTAAAAGAGGAATTGAAAGTGATGGTTATTAAGATAATATTAGAAATAAAAAGAAAATTAGTGACTTTCATAAAAAACAGTTTACCAGAATAATCCAATATCTATGGGATTCCAAAGTAATTTGAAGTATTTGTTCTTCTGTATTTGTCCTCAAATTAATAGTCACCTAATTGGATAATATCAAAGCAATCTTTGAAATAGACTGATTTCATTAAGGATAATGAATCTAACAAACAAGTAGGTTTTGCTTGTTCTTCATGAGTTTGGGGCCATAGTAGCAAAGACAGACAAATAGTACCTCTTGTTACTAGTTCTCAGCCCTAGTATCCTCTGTGAGACTATGACAGGGATCCAGAATTTAGTGTCACTCATTGGAGCAAACTATGGACCTGCACTTTGGGGATTCAGGAGAGAAAACATCTGTGGTGCAGAACATTTTTCCCTTCAGTGAAATTCACCAGGGCTTTAGTTAATTAAGGCAAGCAGTTGGAAATGTTGTTCATTCAACTGCTAAAAGAGGAAAAAAAGAAGGGAAGGACAAATTAACAAGATGGACCCTCAATTACTATGTTTAAAAGTCATGAAATCTCAGTATCAGAAATGTTCTCAAAGTATATCAATTCAACAATTCACTGAGTATTCTAATTTCCCTTTCCATGTGTTTAGCAAGAAGTCAACTTCTTTCTCTACACAGACATTTTCATTGAAACAGAGCTCACTGCCACCTAGCTATGTCCATTCTGTCAGTGTGTATATAGTGAGAAAGAGGAAGATGGCCAGGTATGGTTTCTTGCCCTACCAGTTACTGGTGGTGAGTCCTTGGGGAAAAAAAAAAAAAACAACAAAAAAAAAACATTTAATATCCCCTACTCTTAGCTTACTCATCTGAAAATGAGGAAATAATAGTATGAATTCAAATGAAGTATGAGAAAATATTTTAAACCATGTTATTTACAGATATAAATATTATTATTATTTATAGGTTGGAAAGTCTTAGTTTCTCTTAGGTCATATTTTGAGTACTAATTTTCAAGAATACATCATAGAAGGACTCCGGATGACAAAGTGTTTCCTGGATGCCAAAATATATTCAATTCTTCTCAGGACCCACAATTTCAAAAAATATAGTTGAGCTCAATGAATATTTTACAAGATACGTACCAAGTATAAAGGGAAAAAGAATAAGTTTGCAGTGGGAAAACACAGCATATACCATCTTTATCAAGTGATGGAGATTAAGACCCTTAGTAATCAAACACAGAGACATCATGAAGCCATAGTATCATGGGATGAAAGAATATTTCATTTCTGTAGTACCTGAGCCAAAAAAGCTGACCTCGATGTAATCATTCAAAAACATCAAGAAAACCACAGCTGAAATACAAAAGCACTTCCTAGAATTTATCAAAAGTGAGAAGGTCATGAAGGTAAAAGGAAGGCTGGGAAGGTGTAACAGACTGGAAAAGAAAAAGAGAAACAACAACTACATGTTTTGTAGGGTCCTTGACTGGATTCACTCTACATTAGGGCTGGAAAAATGGTAAAATTTGAGTACAATCTTCATTTTGTTAATAGTATTATACCCAACGTTTCATTCCTAGATATTGATAAATATATCATGAGTATGTAAGATACTAACATTAGCGAGGGCTGGATAGCAGGTGTAGTGGTTAATCAATTGTCAGTTTGAGTGGGGACGCTCAGCTGAATTGACTCAGGATGGTCTTGGGCATTAGGTGTGGAATCTTTGTAGTGATTTTGCAGAGAAATTTAATGTTGTATGATTTTTTTACTTTTACAAAATCATCCTATTGCCATATGGGGTCAAGACTGGAATGCTGTGAGAGTCGAGAATGGGAGCAGAAACACAGGTGAGTTTGGCAGTCACGTCATTCATCCTTGCAAGACGTAATTGTGGTTTAGACCCGGACTGAGAAGACGAGAAGTAGCAGAGAACATGAGACCTGGTTAAGTTAGGGATATGCTGGAGGCAATAGAACCAGAGATCTTGGCGTTACAATTGTTATGGTTGAAGGAAAGAGAGAAATCAAAGGTGATACCTAGAGTTTTCATCTGATCTACTGGGTGGCCAGTGATGTCATTATTGAGTTGGGGAAGCCTAGGAGAGACAGAGGTTGGAAATATTGAGGTACAGGAATGGAAGACTCCATTTAGGCATGCTATTTGAGTTGTCTAACAGGTAAGCCTCTTACTGACTTTCTACTAGGCAACCGGGTAGATGAGGAAATATAGAGATGAAGATTTCATGGTTATGGTTAAAATTTCAATAATAATAATAATAATCACAGATCTAGAAGTCATGAATATTTATAAAATGAAGTCAGTGATCTAAACAAGATAAGGTATAAGGTAGGGAGTAAAAATTTTTTAAAAGAACTTCTTGAACAAGACTAAATATTTGAGTCAACATAGTGGGAAAACTCCTGGTTCAAGTGTTTCAGAGATTTGCCTAACACTAAATAACAATAAGCTCCTAAGCAAAGACTTGGAGTCACAGCTCCTTATCTAACGTTACTGTTATAGTTGATACTGCAAATTCCAATGTATGAAAATGTAGTATTAAAATTCTAATACTTAGACAAAGGGTAATGTTTCTCATTTTCAAAAAGGATAGAGAAAACGTTTAGGGGCTGGGGATTTAGCTCAGCAACACAGTGCCGGCCCGGCAAGCACAAGGTCGTGAGTTCGATCCCTGGTACCGGAAAAAAAAAGAAAAAAAAAAAGAGAAAGCGTTTAATTGAAAACCATATTCCTCAGAACATTACAGTTCTTCATAGTTCAATGACTACATATAATTCAACATCTAAACATAGATTCCTTTGAAAAGAAGGAGCTATTGTGACAGTGCCGGGACAAGGGTTGGGGAGAGAATGTGGGAGAAAAGGCAAAAACCAAGCAGGTGAACTGCTTCTCTCTCTACAATCCCATCAGTCCTTTATTATTTTTATCTGTTTCAGATATTTAGAATCTGAGTAAAATTTTATTTTTAAAATGAAGATGATTAAACTAACACTGCCTGGGAATCTTTAGCTCAGACATCCCATAAACCAGTCCACAAAGATTTAAATTGCCCACTCTACTCTTGCTGTTTCAAAATCAAACTCAAAGCCTATCACTCCAAGAATCCCTTCATACTCATAACAGACTCCAATTAAAAATTAGTCTTCTCTTTTCTTGCTTGTAA